GCTCTTACTCCATGGGAGCGGAGGACGTAGACGGGAGGTGCAGCTACTCGCAAAATGCTTGGTCTTTGCCTTAGCACCCCCTCCCCCCACCGGTGGCCCCACCCTACTCCCTGACCACCACCGATAAGGGCAGGGGGCAACATGCAGAGGTAGCTATGCTTGCAGGCGTCCCCTGTATTGGCTTAGGAGTAGTGGTAGGTAGGTAGTGAAAGGTGAAATTGGGGTGTGTTGTGTTGGGGGAATGCTTTTTTCCCTCCTCCAAAAACAGAACCTCACGGTTCTGGCTCCTTTCCATTCTGGAGAGCATCAGTCCGGTTCCTATTCCACCTGCAAGTCAGAAGAGATTTCAATAGTTACTCACACACGCTCCTCCCAATTATGGTTGAGAGGCCTGAGCGGACGGCATTGATTACTTCCCGAGCCGAGGGATGGATGTACCACCCCTCACCCCGGCCAAAGTTAGCATGTGACGCCCAAACCTCACGCCCGGCGCGACTTCCTGATCGGAGTAGGGTGTGGGCCTGGAAGTCCAACAGGGGTGTGCCAAGGATTTTTGGAAAGTGGGGGTGGAGTCCCAGGTCGGAACTGAGATCTCCGGTGGCAAGGTTCAGGGGCATAGATGCAATAGAGCAATGGGAAAATTTACAGGCGCGGGCTTGCACGCTGGTTGTGCGGGGCCGTCCGATCCTGACGCGATCGCCGGTTCTGGGGAGCCTGTCGGGGCGGTCTTTGGGGTTCACACCTGTGGAGCCCGCCACGTGGCGTGGGTTGGTGGGAACTAGGCCTAGGTGCCGAGGCTTCGGGGGTTCGGGTATGGGCACGCCGCCTGCAGCTTCGGCATGGGGTGGAGGGCCGATAAGGTGCTATGGAATTCCACGGTACTACTGTAAGCTGATGATAGGGGAGGAGGAGGTGGTATGGCGGGAAATTAGTGGCGACAAGGACGAAGCCGGGAGTTATGAAATACTGCGTGTTGTATGTGTTTGGGTAGTCGGGTCCCCGCGGGTCGCTTCGTACGGCGAGATGGAATTCCCTAGCGCAGAATCTATCGTTTTCTATGAGGCAGGGGAATACCGGGTTCCTCAAATTTCCCCGTAATCGGAGTTGCTCTTCTTCCCAGATTTCCCGGTACCCGAAATACGACTCGTAATCCTCGGAATTCCAAGATACGTCGGAACTCCGCGAGCTCGTCATTCTTTCATCACTCACGTCTCGGGGGATAAGTTAATCGGGGAGAT